ATCCCCTGGGGCGGGCCCACGCCCCACAGGCGGGCCTGCGCATGCACCGTGCACCCGGGGGTGGCGCCTCATGCTCTGGCCCAGGGCACCAAAAGGGTTCAGGCCGGCCCTGGCCAGGTGAGAGGTGGGGGCCCCCTTGGGTGAGTTTCTCCCAACAAAGGTTCCAAGGGGCTAGATCCTGGTTCCTCTGTCCTGCAGACAAAGGCTGAGTGAAGCCAATGCCAGACACTCAGGCTATGTCTAGACTACAATGATCTATTGGAAAGAGGTATGCAAAATATGCTCCCCAATTTGCGTACCTTTTTCTGAAATTTGGCTTATCTACACTGGGCCAAATTTCGGAAAAGCCTCCTCTTTAGGAAGAGCCCATCTTCCCTGTGGAAGGAGAAGACAGAGCTTCTGAAAGAGCAAAAAAAAAAAAAAAGCTGAAGAGCAGATGCCGTCCTTGGCCACGGCGGAGTTTTTCCAGGATATTTCCGACATCCCAGAAAAACCCTGTAGTGTAGACCTAGCCTGGAACTGAGGGGTGGATTTGCCCTGGAAATTGGGGAGAGCAGCTTATGCAAGGGGGCAGATTATTGCCTCTGCCCCATTGAAGTTTGGCCTCACCCAGCTGTGTTCTGGGCTGGGAATCAGAAGTGTCCTGTCTGTCCGTAAAAGCAAGAAATCCCAGCACTGGTAGAGCCAGCTCAGTTGGACCAAGGAATGGCTGGGGGGTGGGGGATGTGGATTGTAACACACCCTCCCTCTCCTTTTCCTTGGGGGCTAAAGCAGGATGCCAGGCCCCCAATGTGCCTGTTTTCTGCCCCTGCAGGTTGGCACTGGTCCAAAGGGGACAGTGCAACTGGATCCAGCATCGGCACCAGCTCTGGAGAGATGCTAGTGGGGTACAGGACCCCAGGCACCAGCACTGGAAACTGACATGCAGCTGGGCCCACATCTCCCATCCCTTCAGCCTGCCCTGGGCTCTGCTCCTCCCTGGCTGGAGCCCCCGGTGCCAGGCTCCTGCTCAGAGCGGAGGTGTGATTTTGTAGCAGATTTATTCCACTTTCTGGTTTAAAAAAAGGAAAATTTCAGTAAAAGCACCAAGACCAAACCTAGAATAAGGCAAAGCAGGTTGAGTTGGGGGTCTGGGTTCTGCTACCAGCACCACAGTGAGTGTGAGTCTGTATGTGTCTGGGGCTTGGGCAGCACCACGTACAATTGCCTAAGTGTGAAGAAATGAGCCACCTGAATCATAGGCAAATGTGCTCAAAAGTTGGACAGAAGCCCTTCAGTAGGGGATGCTCTCCTCTCTGGGAGTGGGCAAAATGCTCAGGGGAGAGGTAGGGGTGTGGGGTGTGTGTGTCTCTCGCCCGCAGGCTAGAGCAAGGGAACGGGGCAGACATGGGGAGTGGAAGTGGGGGTGGGGGGTCCCGTCCAGCCAGCACGACAAGCTTAGCTCTGGGACAAGATCAAACCAAGCCTGTGTCCATTCTAGGGATGTAAGCGAGTAGTCAACTAGGCTTATTAGGTAGTCGAGTCCACTACTCGCATCTGGGGGGAGCTGGCTAAAAAGCTGGTTCCCCCCAGCACCAAGTGGTGCTGTCTGCCTCTCTTAGAGGCAGCGAAGGGGGGCAGGGGAGGCTGCTGTAAAGCAGCCTCTGCCCATGGTGGGCCCAGGATCATTGCGGGCAGAGCCTGCTTCAGCAGCAGCCCCTGTCCACAGAGGGTCCTGTGGACAGGGGCTGCTGCCAGCTGGGCAGGTAGCCCGGCCCAGTTCCTGCTTGCGCTGGGTCCAGGGCCAAATCCCACTTTGGCTCTGCAATTTAAAAGGCAGTAGGAGCCGGGGGGGCCCACGCTGCCCAATTCCTACTACCTTTTAAATTGCAGAGCCGCAGTGCGGTTTGGTCCCAGCATGAGCAGGGACTGAGCCAGCTGCCTTCCCCCATCTATTAATCGATAAAAATTCTATTGACTACTTGATTCATACGGACTGAGCCAGCTGCCTTCCCCCATCTATTAATCGATACAAATTCTATTGACTACTTGATTCGTACATTAACCTAATTTTAACATTCCTAGTCCGTTCCTGCTTTAGTTCCCCTTCCCATGAGAGTGGTGATGAAGTAGCCATGGGATCTCCCCTCACTTCTAGGGCAAGGAAAACCCAGCAGGAAAAAAGGAGCTACCCAATTTATTGGAACAAGGAAAATACAAAGATTCATTAAAACAAGTGCTGGGGTCGAATGCCTCAGACAGTCCTTCCAGACCCTGCCTGAAACCTCCCTCCCCTCATGGCCACCATGCTTCATGGACATACACCTCACAGAGGCAGAGTCCCCACCTGACCCCCCCCCACGCACATTTTCTGGTGTTGGGCTCCCTGCCCAGTGACATCCCTGTCGAAGGGCTACAGCACCCCTGTGCTACCCAGATGGGGCACTAGGTCCAAAGCAGAACCTGTGAGGAACAGGGGCTTCCTGTCAGGAGAGGGGGCCAGGGCTGCAGTACAGCTGGGAGAGTGTCCTGCTCAGGGCGGGGCCCAGGTTCCTGCGGAGAAAGCACAATGGGGTGTTAAGGCTGGGGAAAGGGGCACAGCAAGAAACCCCCAACTTCCATTCACAGCCAGAAACTGAAGCACAGATGCAGCACCTAACACACGGCCAGAGAATTCAGGAGTCCTGGCTCCCTGCCCCCCTTAACTCCAGGAACTGACATGCCCCCAAGCCAGGAGGCGGTAACATCCTAAATAAGCATTTGATGCCAGAGGGAGGTTTTACTGCCCCTTGGAGCAGCTGTGCTGGGATTGGAACTCAGGGGCACAGGCAGGGCTGTGGTAATGAGTGAGTCCAGGGCCAGGCTAGCAGGGCACTGTGGGGCAGGAATGAGGGGCAGCCCAGGGCTGGGTTAGCAGGGGGCGGGGGGTTAAAGGGCAGCACGATGCTCCCACTCACCTCTGCAGTTTGCCACACTTGATAGTGCTCAACAGCTTGTCCCTGCTCGCAGCATCAGGGCAGGCAGAGTAGGCGGCCAGCAGGCTGATGGGGTGGAGACAGACTGTGAGGGGGGGAGGGACTCAGGCTCCCTGCCCCACGCTTTAGGTATGCAGGCAAAAGGAAAGGAACCCAGGCTGCTGGGCCCCAGCCCTTCCTTGCTCTCCCACCAAACCCCACTCCCCTCCCGGAGCGGAAGCCACAATGCAGGCAAGGGGCCCTGTACCTGGCTGGTGTGTTGTATCTCTCCAAGATGGCGGCTGCTTTCTCCCCGCTCACTCCGCTGACTTGCATGAGCTGCCGAGCAAACACCTCGCGCACAGTCTGAGCCTGGGGGGGCAGAGCCAGGGGGAGCTGTCAGGGTGTAGTCCAGCCTTAGGCAACACCCACACAAAAGGAAAGGACACAGCCAGCCAGGGCCTGCTAGGGGAAAAGACACTGTGTCCCATTCCCTGTCCTAGGGCCGGAAAGGGGGGCCCGGCCACTGACCAGTCTCACCTTATTCTTGACAGCTCCCTCATTAAACTCCTGGAAGGTCATCAAGGTACAGGAGTCGCTGCTGGGCTGCAGGGGGCTGCGGTCCTGAGACTCCTCCTTGGTGCAGCTCACCAGGGTCTTGTTCTGGAGAAGAAAAGGAACCGAGCACTTGAACAACCCAGCCTACCCCAAATGCCTGCTGACTCCCCCTCTAGCCAGGGGATTTGACCCCTCCCTGCCATCCCCACTCTGTCTCCTCCTGCCCCAGCCTCCAAAACATGCAAAACAGCTGTTTCAGGATGGGTGGGAGGGAGAGGAGGAGGCTGGTCCTCAGCCCCCACCCCCAGCAGCTGAGAGGCACTGGGGGGAGATTGGCTGCCAGCAAGTGCTGAGCATCCACTAATTGGAGTTGGCATCTATGCTTCTGCCACACCGCCCCTGAGAGCCCAGCCCTGGCGGTGCCCCCCAGTACTCCCTACTAGCGCAGCCCTGAGCATCCTTCCCCCCCAGCTCTGCTTGGGACCCTCACCTCTGACTCAGAAGCCCAGTGCTGGGGGTGCCCCTCACGCCCAGCCCCATGCTCACCCCATACAGGCTGTTCAGGTGACGTGTCATGATGGTCAGATATGTGGCCGATTCCCGCAGGTCACGGGTGCGTTTGACGAAGAAGCCGTCTACTACCTGGGCAGGGAGGAAGAGAGCAGCAGGGAGTGGGGGTGGGGAGAGCCTGGAGTGGAGCTGGGGCACGTGGGTTCACAGCCTCCTCGAGGTTCAGAAGGTTCGTGAGTTTCACCTGTGCTGTTGGGGGGAGCAGCCTCAGGAGGGTGCCTGGAGCCGGGTGCTAGGAAGGGGAGGCCAGAGCTGGATGCAGGTGGCTGCTTGTTGCAGGGTGCTCGGTGGAGGCTTCGGGGGGTGGGGGGCTGAGGTCGCTGTACCAAGGTGCTGGGAAGATGGGAGCAGGGGTCCCTTTTTATGTCCATGGGTGGAATGAACATCGTTACGTGCACCAGTATGGAGAGGATGTGACAAGGGCCATACTGGGGCGCACATTCATTCTGCACACGGACGGTGTGTGGCAGGATTGAGCCAATGGGGTCATGGCTGAGGGTGTGGGCTCTGGGGTCAGGCGGGGGGTAAGAAGTTCGGGGTGCCTGAGGGGGAGAAAGGACCCCCCAGCCCTCTCCTGCCACAGCAGTTCAGGGCCAGGTGAGAGGCACCTTGCCCCAGCTACAGGAGCTCTAGCCAGGCAAGGCTGAAGGAGGGATGCTACTGCCAGACTGCAGCAGCTCTGGGCTGGGGCACCATGGCAGGGCTGGAGTTTGGGGAGAGGCCTGTCCCCCTGCCACAGCGCTTAACTGGTAGCTGCACGGCCACACAGCTTGGGAACTTAGGTGCTGGGCAGGAGTCCCCATACCTGGGTGCTGGCGGCTGCCTGCTGCAGGGTGCTCTCAGGCAGGCTCAGGTGCTGGACTGAGCCGTATTCCTCCAGCAGGTAGATGGGGTGGCGCAGGCCGCAGCGATGCAGACGGAACTGGGTGGGGCAAGGGAGGGAGGTTACCAGGGGAGGGAGGCCCACCCTGGTCTCCAACCCACACCCCTACGACTTCTCCCAGAGATCCTTATCCTCCACCCAGACAACCCCCAACTCCCCTTCTCGATCCTCAGCTCCCCGCCCCCAAGGCAGCCCCCTTCCCCCACACCTTCTGCTCACGGAAGCGCCTGTCGATGATGCTCCCACACAGGTCAGCCATTCGCTTCCGCTCCACCACGTAGTCCAGGACTAGCTCCCGCACTGGGCGCAGGTGCAGCTGCCCTGGGGGTAGATCGGGCTCAGGAGGGAGAGAGCAGGACCCCACCCCAGCCCTGTGTAGCCAGAATGAGGCAATCTAGGTGCCATGAGGCTCTGCTCCCCCATAACCCCCCACTTGGAAGTGACGTTCAGGGACACACACCCCAGTACCGTGTATCTGCATGTGTGGGGCTGGGGTAATGCCCCACTGCATGTATGGGGGGTGGGGCCAGTCACACCTGAGGAGCCCTCCCTTGCTGCTGGCTGGGCAGCTCCTACCTGGGCAGGGCTGGACCTTCTCCCGGGCGACCCACACAAAGTCCCCCACATGCAGCTTGCGCACGTCGAAGGGCACGGTGTTGCGGCGCAGCTCGGCCAGCAGGTCCTGCTTTCGAGCCCCAGGGCCTCTGAGGGGAGAGATGAGGTGGGACTGGGGCAAGCTCAGGACCCCTGCAATGCCCCAACCCTCCAAGACACTGTGAGTGACCGCTGGACCTTCTCCCGGGCGACCCACACAAAGTCCCCCACATGCAGCTTGCGCACGTCGAAGGGCACGGTGTTGCGGCGCAGCTCGGCCAGCAGGTCCTGCTTTCGAGCCCCAGGGCCTCTGAGGGGAGAGATGAGGTGGGACTGGGGCAAGCTCAGGACCCCTGCAATGCCCCAACCCTCCAAGACACTGTGAGTGACCCCCCGTTACCCCACATCTCATCCCTAGAGCCCAGCCTACCTGGAACACCCCATAATCA